TTCTTTCTTTTTTCTATATTTCTTTCTTTTACCTATTTTTTATTTATTTTTCGTTCGTTCAGTTTTATTCTGATCCCTTTTCTTTTCCCTTTCTTTTTATTCTTTCTTCTTTTTATGTTATATTTTTATGTTATATTTTCGTTTCTTTTTCTTTCTTTCCTTTTCTTTTTTGTATTTTTCTTCCTTTTCGAATATCATCATTTTATGGACATCTTCTTAGTATTTTCTATCCAGATTACCGGAATCTCTTCAAACATACAACTTCCACCACATCAAGAGAATCAAATTTTTTTGGAATAGCGGTCTTTGAGCCGACCGCAAAATTCTCAAATTAAACTTTACCTTACCGCGACAAGGTTTTGATTATTATGATTACAATTTTTCGCCTTATATTTTCTCTTCTTTCTAAATGAACTAACTAATCCAGTTTGTAAAATTGGAAACGGCAGATATTTATTAACCTTGATTTGATATTGCTTTTTCTGTGCTTCTTACCAGCATCAAACTAATCTATCTAATACAAACTATCATGTTACCCAAGCATTCGAATGCAATTGTTCTATGGTTTTATCGTCGTTGTTGCTTTTTCTTTAGGTACTTAGATGTTTTTGTTTACAGTACTACCTTCTTTGGCACTCAAGGAAGGATTTAGTTTATGTGAATATTTTTCTCGCTGTAACAAAAATCGTCTAAAAATAATCAACCTGAGCTCGCAAAGCATTACACTTCGAAGAGAAAAAAAAACATGTAGCTTTAAGTGCTTTTAGCACTAAAGAAAGCCGATTTTCAAACCGGTCCACAATAAATACATTACCTTTACTCCTTCTACTTAAAGGCAAAATTAAATATATTACACAGACTGAGGGTAACTTTTAATCTTAAATATTTGATTTGATTTTTTTCCCCAGTGCTTTGCTACAGAAGTCTATTTCCGTTAATTTTGCGCTTGTTACTTAATGAAACTTTCAAAGCCGAATAACCATGCCAGTTTATTCATTTATTTTTTCTTTCTGGAATTGAAAACCTAACTGATTGCGCAGGCCGAATAACAAGGAGGGTTAAATAAAGCTATGGAAATTCCGTTTTGCGCTTGTGAACGAAAATGAGCATGAGAGTCGGAGTTCCTGCTATGGAAAAATCGTTCATGTTAATGCAATATTTCATTTACGTCATTAGCAACAAAACAACGTTATTAATGAATAATATTACCCCGTGAAAGCTAATATGTATCTAGAAAGAGATGTAGTTTTTTGATGATTGGAAATCTAATTTTCAAGATATAGATTTCGGAAACACCGCTGTGACTCATGCTTGCTTATCCAAGTGGAAATTGAACAAACACGAGAAGATTATTTTCGGTTGATTTGTTATCACGTTCCTGTTTCATGCATGCTTGGTGCATACCTCCTGGTTCATGAATGCATACATGTAACTAACTCTCCCATTATGCATTCCCAAGTCCGTCATTGTCTATCTATTTTTTCATCTATCCGTCCATCCTTCCTTCCTTTATTCCTTCCTTCCATCCATCCATCCATCCATCCATCCATCCATC